GCAGTAGATTATTAAATAAACAATAGTTTCTATGGATCAGGATATATCGATACGAGATAAACGGCTACCGATTCACGGGGAAGATTTGAAGCTGTTTGCTAAACGCGCTTAAGGGAAAGGGAGCATAAAGCTTCGAAGCTCCGAGTTCGCGGGATAATGATTTGTCGGCGTCGGCGTCGGCGTCGCGTCGCGCGCTATCACCGTTTTGCCACCTCGAACCTCGAACGCGGGTCGCGGACGCGGAACGTCGCGGAATCGACGTTCCGCGTGTGATGGATCGATGCACGTGTGTGTAGTGTGTACTCCCCGCGAAGTAGGCACGGCTTTTTCAACCGTGAGAGGGGGTGGAGATAAATTATTACTCGCGCGCGCGCGACTAGTGAATGAAAAGCGGGATAGCGCTCGGCACGTCCGCGCTCGGCACGCTCGCTATATGTATATCCCCCTTTGCTATCTTTACCCGGCGATGTACGACGAGGAGATCTAGGAAAAGACTACGGCTCGACGTGTCTCCCGCGATCGAATTCGGTTTATTATACAAGAGCGTACACTCGGAGTGAGGGTCAGCGACCACCAGCCTGCACACCGGCCTATACATCCCAGGGCCGAGACACGGTGAAATCGGTATCAGGAACGAGTGAGCATAATATTACAACGATGCGTAATAAGATAATATCAGAAATAAACCGCTGGATCATTTCGCTATGCGAGATCGTGTGTGCAGGTGTCGCGGAAAGAATTTCTTCGAGTCTCGAAGTCGATTAGTTGGAGAATTAGGGAATTAAGGTTTCCGTTCGAGCGGAATATTGTTTAAGGTTTAACTGCAGGATGCCAACAGCTGTTCAAACACTACCACGGACTAATTCTTCGGTTAACGGTTTGGAACAATCCGGATGTAATATAAAAGTCTATTATCGGTACGTATTATAATATCGTCCGTAACTTACGGCGTATCAAAACGCAATGAAAATATTACGTCGCAGCAAATGCTAAAGGCTTATCCCCACTGAAGCCGAGCGTGCCAATCGACATTCTGGCTTCTTCTTTTTCTTTATAAAAGAAGAAAAGGAAGAAAAAGAAGACAAATGTGCCGGTCGACATGATCGGTTTCAGGGGGGGGGGGGGGGGGAGTTTTAAGTCATAAAGAAAATTTCAACGATCGTATAATATATAATTGAAAAATAATTAATAAACACAAATCCATAACACGTGTAACGTATGGACAGTATAATTATTACATTTTGATGCAATTTTATATAGGTAAATATAACATAACGAGTAAGTAGATCCATATTTTTGCACGAGTATTTATTGAAATTTTTGCACGAATATTTATTGAAATTTTATTAAGTACATATATATGTAAAATTTAATTCGTAATGCTTCTCATAAAATTTATAAATACGTAAAATGCGAATTTTCCACAAGAATCAAGACAAACAAATAAATGAAATAACTTTTAAACCAATAAGAGAATTGTAAAAAAATTGTACACAAAAAAATATTCAAACGTAATAATAAAATAATCTGTAAAAACTTTCGTATTTTTGGTAATGCTTTGAGTTGTAATAGGTACGTACATCTTTAATATGATATCCGCGAAATGTTACGTAATGCTTGACCTTCACCCCGGAGTCAAAAAGGAAAAAAAAAGTGATTGAAAATTATGAAATCCTTATCAGAAGGCGGACACGAGAGCAGGTTCCAGCCGAGCGAACGGCCCGTACTTAATCATCGCGCGTTCGTTTCATTGGCGAGCCGGTTGCAGCGATGCCGACACGTGAGGCTCATTTGCATCTCGTTACATCGCGCTGATTAATAATCGGTCGTTAGCGAGATGCGACTTCGTCGATCGAAGTAGCGTTGCTATCTGACTAGTAGATAGACATATACCTACGTGTCACACACTGAGAGCGCGCATGTGGTCCAGCTGATAGAACTTGTGCCTTATCGCTGGATGGCGATTGTGTCCGCGACCGAGCCGAGTCAATATCAAATTCAAAGGATTATCGCGCGAGATGCGCCGAGGTCGAGATACAATGAAATATGAGAACAAGATACGAGCAACAAGGTGACAAAGTTTAAGAATCGCAGCGTGAACAGGATATATTATGACAGTATTAACGGAAATTATTTAAAGAAAATAATATTAAGTGTGTCAATTCTCACTACTTTCATGTTATTTTCGGAAAAAAATATTCGGCATTGCTCGAATATATAGAGCCACTAAAAATTAATTAATTTTAGATTATTATGTTTATGATAATACATCGTACGTGCGGAAAGAATAGTTTTTACTCGAGTATCTAATTTAGTTGAATACAGATCTGAAAATAATTGTGTTAGATTAAAAATAATTATCAAGGACGCTGAAACTAATTGCTAAAACGTCAACATTTTTTACAGCATTGTTCGAATTTCTCACATAAATAGTTTGAAGACTTAAAAAAATTATTTTTATACATTTCAGCAAAATCGTTCTTTCCGAGCACTGGTAAAAATTGCTAAAACACTCTAGAAAACCAGAAATGAAGTAAAAACGAGTACTGCAGACTGCAAATTTTTTCCCCATTTCAAGATGTTGAAGAATACGTAATAAACTTTATCTATCTATTTATCTATGCCTTATTCTTTATATCTTATCCTTGTAGCTGATAATTTCAGACCTACGTTTGTGCGCGTATGTATGTGTTACTCGATGGAATCTTCGCTCGACTAACAACTATGCCGGCTCGTTAGGATGTCGCTTTGTCGGATCGTTTATGCGTGCAAACTTGCGCAGATTCCGCACCGATGCTCGCGCGCTAGATAGCGAACCGATCAAAACGACCATCGATGATTTATGGTATTCCGAGTAAAATAACGCAACGTGTAATAAAAGTTACACGTTTCTTAATCGCAAACGCAATCGAAAGTGTTTCACGCGAAAGATACATGCGGAATGAATGCTGCGCATATATCGTAGAAAAATTACAAGGTAAAGAAACATTACAGTTACAACGATAAATTAATTCCACTATAATGGCAAGTGTTGACGTTTCGAAATTGCGATATTGATTTAGCTACAGATTAAGCGAAATTGGATCAATCGGAGAAGGAGATATTTCTATAATCTTATGATGAAATAGAACGAAAATTGATCTACTCCGAGAAATATTGAGTTTTTCTCTGCTCCACATTTTTCTCCGTCCCAAATAAAAATGTAATGGTGCGCGCGTGCGTGTTCCAGATGATCGAATATTGTTTTAAGGATCTGATTAAAGTATCTCGCCGTGGGCAGGAGATATAATTTATCACAGAGGCGTGATCCTCGGATTACACGGTAGGTACCGAGCGCGCGCTCTTTTCTCTCTCATGTTCTGCGAAGGGAGGGCGTCTTTAATCGGAGCGAGAGAACCGAGCTGGGTCCCCATTATTTTCTCGGTCAACCTAACAAAGTCGATATAACGACGGAAAAAAAGAATTAGTAGTCCCCAATCAGAGGTTCGCAATCTTAAACAACTTCATGTACTTTGTGTCTCACTGATTACTCCAGTTCTATATGCGTAGCATTTTCCTTTACTTCCTTATATACGTTTATTTATAAATAAAACTTACATTTATCGCAGTTTATCGTAAATTTGTGTAAAAAATTTATATCAAACGTACGACGCGCGACGGTACGACAGCGAATCTATCGTTAACACAATATACTACAATCAAACCATTCTTTAATAGCGGAAATATGATAGGGAGATTCCAGCGAACATCGCAATCGCGCTATTACATAGTATTACGTTTTAGGATTTTAAGCAAATTATAAAAAAAAATACAATACTAATCTTTTGTAACATGAAAAGCGTTTTTTTTTTCTTTTCGGATTAATTTCCTTAATGGACTCTGTACAGAACAATTAATAAATTTTGATTTTTTTTAGAAAAATCCCGTTTCTTCTTTATTTTTATTTTGAATTCATTTTCTACCGGTATCCATATCCCAGCTACAAAATTATGCAATATTTAAATTATGTAATTTCTTCGTTTAGCTCCGGCTATAAATTAGATAAAGGAATTACTACTACATGCAATGTAAACAATGTAATACTGCACATACGTTTCTCTGATTGTCTTATCAGTACAGCATTAATTCCAGCTTGAAGAATGATTAACCGTATCGAACGTGCATTCGTAGAAAACGATAGTTCCATCTTTATAAAAAATTTAATTATTTTATCGTAATCGTTCCTAGTCGCTCCTCATATCTCATGTTATCAATAAAATACTATTGAATATATCCCCCAGGAGAATTATACCCTTGTCATTCTGTTAATTCTGACCAGAGAACGTCAGACCACGACAGATCTAATACGGAATGATTATGAAATTACGACATCTTGAATAAGACAGTCCCAGATATCGAATTAGGAGCGGAATACTAAAGCATACAGTAGTAATCGAATTAAAGACAAGATATGATCGCCGGTTACCGCATTACTCGCGATTACTATTCAGTGTCGTCAAATTACCGTTTCTACCACGGCAAAATGGTGTTAAACGTTGCAATTTTAATAACAGTTGGAATCTCACGATAAGATGTTTGTTCGGCTTGTCCGTGGCGATAATAAAGTTAGAACAATTGTTCAGGATTAATGTGTCGCGTTTCGGATAAAGCCAGAGATTGAATCTCGTCCGCGCGCGGAGAGATCAGAGATCATAACGTGTGTGAGAGAAAACATGAAGATTATCATTGCAGAACTTGGCGAAACATATCTCGGCTGGTCCGACTTCTCTCCGCGAAGCTCGCAGGGTCGAGAAGTCTCGACCGTCTCTCTTGGATGAAGTCCAAGAAGACACGCATACCTAACGAACATAACATCGATGGAGTAGAGGGGGAGAGATCTCTCGATGGAGATTCACCGTGACTGAAAGAGTGTTTCTCTCTTTCCTCCCACTCTCTCTCTCTCTCTCTCTTTTACCCGGTTTTCTTTCACGTCGTTGTGCTACTGCGTTTGGTAAACTCACCGGATCTCGCAGCCTACTGGATCATCAGCGAGGCATGTCGACGGCGGGAGTCAGGTCGGTCGGCCGAGTCCCTGCTGAGTCGCGGCGTATCGATCGATCTGCCCCGCGAGAGCGTCAACGAGAGCGAGGCCGAGGAGAGCAAGCAAGCAAGCAAGCGAGCGGGCGATCCTCGGGATCTCGGCGCCGCGACGCGGCGCGCCGAGCCGCGATCGCGATCTCGCTCGAGGACGCGGGATGACGACGACGACGTGAACGCACACCGCCAACTAGCTAGCGTAGGAGAACGTGCGGGAGTCGCCGACAACGAAAGGTATCGTCGTCGTCGTCGTCGCGTCTCGTCCCTCTTTGTTTTTTTTTCTCTTTCTCGCTCACGACGTTCGGCCGTTCTCCAGAACGACGTCAATGGTCCCGTGCGCGCGATCGATATCTCCTCCCCCACACCGCGATAAAGCACCCCCGCGGGCGCCTTGCACGACGCAGAGACGGGAAAGAGAGGCGAAGATCGTGAGACGGCGCGATCGTTCGCCGATCAAAACAAAACTTGCCGCTGCCGCTGCTGCTGCTGCTGCTGATGTTGTCGTTACTACTCCTCCTTCTCGTTCTCCTTGCCGGATGCTGATTCTCGCACACCAATTCGCGTCGTCGCTGACCGATACCACGCCGAACCGAACCACGACGAACGAACGGAGGAATCAACGAGACCGACAGACAGGCACACTCACGACTATCTCTTCTCTTTCTCTCGTCGTGTTGCGTCTCTCTTTCTTCCTCTCTCGCGGCGGTTCTTTTTTTCCTCTCTTTGGCACACTCTCCAACCGGACTACTCTCTTCCTCTCTCGCGTTCGCAAGCACGAATTGCGCGCGCGCGCGCGTGTATGTATGTATGTATGTGTCGCGTGCGACGCTTCTGCTTTCTCGCCGCTCGCGGTCCGTCGGCGACGATTCGATCTTGTTCACCGTCGCTAGTCGACGATTTGCGTCGCGGTGCGTATCGAGTGAGAAAAATCAACCGCAAACGTTTGCCAATTTTATCAAAGTCCGAGTCCTTCTTCGTTCTTGCCTCTTCCTCCTCTTCGTTCGTTCTCTCTCTCTCTCCCTCCGCTTCCTTCACCTTCGCCGTGAATCACTCGCACGATAATATTTATAGGGGACTTATCTCGATTGATAACGTGGTGAATATATTCTTAGGTCGTGTGTGCGTCGGTACGTCGGTACACGCGCTCACTCCGTTCGTGTGTCGCGCGCGCGGTTGAGAGATAGGTTAGCTTTTATCCGCGACGTGATCGCGGGGACTAGATGCGTTGACTAGAGATGCACGGCGAAACGAGCGTCTTTCTTAAAATATACTTTACACGCGTGACAAGCACGACGGTGATGGCGAAGACGGCGCTCCGACGGCGTAACACGCGCGGACGGCACTGCTTCTCCTCTACGCTACCGGAGCGTATTCAAATTTAGACACGCGTCGTCTCTCCGCGACTCCGACGGCGACGGGTGCTGCCCTGGCGCACACAGTCGCGCGTATGTACGACGTATTGCACGACCAGCACGACGACGACGACGGCGACGGCGGCGACGATGGTAGCCGCTTGTAGTGAGCTTGCCGTGAGGACGGTTAAAAAACCGGGGCGGTCGCGCGCGCTTCGACCAGTTCGCCCCGAGTTCGCGGTCGAGCCTGAAATAAAGATTTGAGGAAGTCGCGCTGAGAACCGAGCGAGAGAGAGTGTGCGTATATGCGTGCGAGCGAGACGGACGGAGGAGGAGCGCGCGCGCGCGCGCGCGCGCGTGAGCGAGCGAGAGGTAGAGATGGAGCGAGCGGAGGGAGTGAGAGAGAAGGCACGAGCGAGCGAGAGGGGGAAACGAGTCGTCGCGGCTGGTAATCGTGTACCAGTCGGTCCACCTCGCCTCTGAAGTTTGCCACGGAGAGCCGAGATACGTCGCCGCGGCGCGACCTCCTATTGGTCGATAACGCCGCGGACGTCAGTCGGCAGCCAGCCAATCGCGCCGTCCAGTGCTCGCGCGCGCCATCTCGCGCCGCTTATTGCCGGCTCGTTGCTCGTCCCGCGCCCCCTCGCAGCATGCCGCGCCGTCGCATGTTCTTGCGACTGGCTGGTGCAACGAGACGCGTGCGCGACGTGATCGTTTCGCTCGCGTCAACAAGAGTGGAGCACCGCGCGCGAGGCTTGCTCCGATCACAGCGGCGCAAACCAAAAAACCGCGCGCTTTTGTTTTTCTTCTCTCTATCACCTTTTCTTTATCGATTATGACGATAATCTTGGCTTCACCGTTTCGTCGATTGTCCTTTCTCGACGATGTGATTGAGAGCTTACTTAAAACTCCGAAATGCAATACGCGTTAAGTAGAAAAAAATATGCAAGTTATGAAGAAAGAAATGCGTATCGACATGTACCTTCAATGTTGACTATCTATTCTTAATTTGATGACTGTTTCTATCAATGTAGATTAATTTTAATCTCGGCTCAACTTAATTTTCATTTTTTTTTCTAGTTTTAAGAATTAGAACAAAAATGAAGAGTAAATTATGAACCGAGATTAAAGTTAATCTATATTGACGTAAACAGACACACTTCTTTATGAATCATGAAAACAATTTTCTATTACAACAGACAACACAAATGTGATACAAAGAGTCTGTCTCTAGATTTTTTATTGATGCAAAGATTTGCTGATGTAAAATGCAATAAACTAAGTAAAAACTGCATAGTTAGGTAGATACCATCAAATTTATGTATTCCATAGCTTTAATTTCTATTTAACCCTGATCGATATTCGCGGTTCAATGGACCCGAATTTTCTTCAATACATTTTCTTCTTCAATAACGTTGTAAAAAATATACAACAAATGTTTTTCACAACCTTACATAATTTTAAGTTACAAAATATCTCTCTAAACGTGCGAATATCAGTCAAGGAAACGTAGCGGAATACCGATTAGGATTAATAATAGTGTGGAATTGAGAGTTTTAAATAAAGCTTGGAGATGATAAAAGGCATAAATGCAGTTCACAACGATTTGGGGAAATTGCACACTAACGATTTCTCAAATCTTCGCGCGCTCGTGTGAGGATTAATCCTCGATGGTAATTACCACCAGGAAATCAAATCGATATGCGGCAAAGCAATCCGCGATGCTTAATGGTAATCGTTTGGCATATAATTTGCAATCTTGCGACGCACATGTCAAAGCATAATTAATTTCTTTCACGACGTCGTAGTATTTTCCTTCGGGCGTGAGGCAAAGTGTGAGAGAACCTGTGTACCGCGACACACACCTTGGCAAAAAAAAAAAAAAAAA